AAGCGCGGAAGTACTGACCTTACTTTGAGTTTGATTCCATAAAAAGTGACAAAAACATTAGTGTCCGTTGTGCGTGGGAAGAAAACTTCTTTTTACAGCAAAAAAAATCCCTATCTAGGGATAGGTATCGAAAACCGGTTCTTGTTGAGAACCGGTTCCCACTGTTTCAATTCCTTGGAATTGTTTGCCATTTTTGCAAACAATTCCCTTATTGATTCCAGTCGCCCCAAATGATGTCACCATGTTGCACAGCGTCATTTACCTGGCAGGAAACACGGCGGCTCAAACGCTCAAAAGTTTGATTATACTTTACGAGAACAGATGACAACAGGGCAACTTGCAATACTTGCAAAGTAGATATTTCATTTAAGGGAGGAAACACTACAAATATGCAAAAGCATTTGCTCACAAAACACGCGATAACCTTAAATGAATGTCGTGTTTTTAATTCTGCTCTGGACTCGTGAATCTCAACCCAGCAGCAGCGGTAACGTTTGCACGTCCTCTCCCGTTAATACGGCAGGTAAATAATCAACTAACAGTGCATATTATGTTTGTCAGGGTCCTGGGTCCCCTGACCCAGCATGTTTAGTTCTTTGTGCTTTTTGTATTATTGTACTTGTGTGAGTTATTCTATGGTTTCTAGTTTTGATCCCTTGCCCTTCATGTTTCTCTGTGTACCCTCTGTTCTGTGTAAGTCTGTGTCTGCATGTTTGAGTTTACCTCTGTGTCTTTCGGTTCTTAGAGTCCTCTACCTTATGGTTTGGTTCTGTGTTTCTTAGTTGCTGTCTCCACCGTGTCAAGTTCGCGTCTCTATGTCGTACTTCCTGTTTTACTTTGAAGGTCCGTGTCTTATGTGAATGCGTCCTGCTTTCCTTGTCTCGTCAGTCCTGATTTCTCCCAGCTGTGCCCTCCTTCTGTGTCTCATTCCCCTCGTTACTTCCCAGTGTATTTAAACCCTGTGTTTCTCTGAGTCAGGGTCGCGTTGTCCCTCAAGCTGTGTGTTTCCTCGTGTGCCCCGCTTGCTGTGACGATCTCCTTGTGTCTCCCTGTGAGTTTTAGTTTGTTGTTTCCCCAGTTTAGTTTGTATGTTTTTTCCTGCCAGCCAATAAAGCTGTGACTTTGAGTTAACACCTTGAGTCTGAGCGCCTGCATTTTGGGTCCTACTCCTGCCTGCCACACTGCACGGCTCAGATGCTGGCAATTCTCACTGCAGTCTACCAGTAGCGTCTCCTTTCAGGCTAGAAATCTCTGCCAT